CAGTGATGACCAGCTGTGGTGGTTTCATGTTGACTGCAGCAGGACTGTTTTTGAGTGTCCGCAGGCTCTTCAGAGCAGAGAGTGATCCTGTCATCCTCCAGTAAGGGAGTTCTTATGTGTGATAGTTTCTCTGTAAAACCGTTATCTTTTACCCATTTATCCTTCATCACTTTGAGCAGGCAAAATCGTGGTTAGATTAAATATCCAAATTTGTCAAAACAATGATTCTCAGCAGAAGGCAAAACATTCATCTGTGAATTCTTCTCTGAACCTTCTTTCCTCTCTAATCTGTTCTGATGATGCTGTTGTGTTATTTCTTACAAGAAATGTAGAACATTGCCCCTTTGGTGATAATATTGTAGAGGAAAAAGATCAAGAGAGAACGCTATCTCTCCTTGGGGATAAATGCCAACAAAAGAGTGTTAAGAAAGAAAAGATACACAGAGGTGAATTGTGAAAAATCAGAGTTACCGGCTGCTAAACTGGAAGAGGTAAACGTGGTTGATGTGTGCTCTATCAAGATTAGAGCTATTCTGCTTGAAGCACAGAATACATTATTTCCAGGTGTAAGTAAATCATAGGGTGTAGAGCAGAGGGCAAATGGTTTAGTTGATCTATTAGGCAAAAAATAAGGAGAAAGAGAGCACTTTATAAAATTATATTTCAATGAGCAGGATCCAATTAACAAAATGGAATACATTGAATTGCAAGCATAGGGAAAATGGAAAATGGATACTGGAAAGGCTCTGAGAGAGGTAGCACACATTATTGCAATGGATGCTACAATAGTGTGGCAGACTATAATGATTATGACCATTATGATCTGAAAAAGAACCAAAAGACGCATTGTCATTCGGGAAATGTATAAGTGCTCAGAGAAGGAAGAGGAGAATCTGTCTGTCCCAAGCCTCAGCACAGGAAGGGACAAAAATATTAAGATGTGCTTATGACAGAGGGAGGCCTCTACTGGACAAGAAGAAGGGCCCAGGATAAATTAATAACTAATGGAGCGAGGCACTGTCTAGGAAGAATGAGCAGTCATGCATTGGACTAAGTGAGTTAAAGGCTCTATCACTTGGAAAGGAGTGACCTAGCCCTGAACAAGCACTGATGGGGAGGGGGGGGTGAAACATCAGTGTCTTCAAAGGAATACAGGTTTTGTGAAAAGACGAAAAGTGTCCAAGAAGGTGACAGACTGTTTACAACACTGGAAAACACAGATGGCCTAAACAGTGAAGGGGGAATGGCTAGTATATTAAATAAAGTGTTTATACTAAATCATGAGGGTACCGCAGGTACTACCAAAACTCAAGATAAATGAGAGTATTCCACAAACTAGTAGTATTCAAGTAAAGAGATGATATTAATAGGCTGTTAAACTTTTCCAATAGTCACTCAAGAGTGGGGTTATACCCATTGACTGGAAAATTATGAAACCATGAAAAAGGTGATAACCAGTCCAAGTAATGACACACTGTAGAAACCAAGAGATTCGAGCCTGAGGTGTTAATTTGTCAAGCCAAGCTTTATTGTATGTATACTGTACAAGGAACAACACAATGAGGATTATTGTTGTTGTTGTTGTTCAAAGGGGATATGGCTCCCCACAGTTTATATACACTTTTCTCTACACCCCCCTTCGCCTGTCTTTAAGGTACTTTCTCAAGAAACTCAAGGTCTCAGAAAGCAATTAAAATATTACTTCCTTATCAGGGAGTTTAGTACAGAGAGGGAGAAGCATCTGTGTTACAGCAAGCGTGAAGGTTAGAGTTTAGCATGTGAATCCAGCAGGAGTTCACAGCTCCTACCCCTACATGGGTACAGAGTAACATACAGCTTCTGCTAGCAGACTCCATCACACATCAATAAGTCTTGCATCACACATAAGGTTAGAGAAATAGTAATTAGAACTAAACGGTTGGATCACCTGTTTGGCAATAAGATTCTCAGATAGTCAACACAAAGTTATAAAAGGTAGTTTTTGTTTAACTATTAAAGTTCTTTAAACAAAGACAGTAATGGATATATACAGACAATATGAAATAGCATATTTAGATTTTCAGACTTTGCTGAAGGTCCTCAAGATTTAAGACCTCTTAAATAGAAAGTAGTTGGCATCGAAGGTAATGCATGTATTTGAATCAAGAAACTGGTAAATGAACAGAAAACTGTTAAGGGATAAATTTTCAGTTTGGGTTGATGTCGTTACTAGAGTACTACAGGGGTCTGCATCATGACCACAGCTCTTCCTGTTTCATATCAAAGATTTAAGACTTTTTACTCTTTATTTTATATGTACAAGTCACAATATCCATCAAGCAGCACAGTGCTTAACAGTGGTGCCTTGCAACGCTGGCATCTGGAGTTCAATTCCAGACCTGGGGTGCTAACTGTGTGGAGTTTGCATGTTCTCCCTGTCTTTGCACAGGTTTTTTTCTGGCTGCTCTGGTTTCCTCTCATAGTTCAAAGACATGCTGGTGGGTTCATTGGCTTTTGGGAAATTTGTCCCTGTCCAGAGTGCACCCTGCTTTGTGCCCGATGCTTGCTGGGACAGGTTCCAGGTCCTCTGTGATCCTGAACTGGAAGAAGTGGTTACAAAATGGGTGGATGGATAATAAATTATACACAAGCATTTTGAAACTGAAACATTTCTGGGGAAGCTTAAATATAATAGACCTACACTTACAATGTAATCTATTATAAAGAAACATAAATCTATAATTGGAGAATTAAATCCACAACACAGTAATTTTCATTATGGCAGGTAGTCTGTACCAACCTGCCTGTGAAATACAAGAAAGGCAATTCATAGCTGCATATGTGTCTCAGAGAATGTGAAACAGCCGAGTAAGATCAGTAAATTATACAACAAGCTTTAGAGAAGGTCTAAAGTGCTGAAAAGGCAAAAATCAATAATGGCATGAGGTTCAAGTCTTGGAGTATTTACGTATCAGGAAAAGACATCACAGATGTATCAGTTAAGATGTTTATCCTGAATATAACATTCATTTTACCGGTCATCATAAGTGTCAAGATGTTTGAGTGGGGAGCTGTATCAGCATATGATTTTCAATCTATCTGGGCTCTGAACAGCCTCAATCAGTTCATTATTGGCTTGATTGGAATAATTTAATACCTTCACTTGGCTTTTCTGGTACAGCTGCTTTAAAGAAATCTGGGAGACATGCAGATGTGTCGATTATTAAATATGTCTCTGATCTCTTTCATCACCCTAAAGCGCTGGACTGAGAACTTGATTAATTCATTGTAAAACAAGTCCATTACTCTCACACTTTCGTTTGTTTAAAGGAAAGTAGTTGTAAAAAAAAACTTTTACAATTTGAAAAGCAAACGCTGTCATGCCCCACCCAGCAAGCGCCGGTGATCGGTCCTGCATACAGACGCGAAACGGCACACCTGCCGACAGACTTTCACAGCGGGCGGCTAATTCATCCATTACTTAACTATTCGTTCCCTTGCCCTTCACTCAGAGGTCTGTCATAAGCTGAGCTTTTGTACGTTTGCAACTTCGTAGTTTCCTTACGCTGGTTTTGTTTTTCCTCTACGTTTTTTGTGCTTAATTATTTTCAGCGCTTTTTGTTCTTTGCTACTACAGGGCTACAGCTCTGCAGCCTCGAGTGCTGGATTTGTTCTTGCGTCTTTTCTTTTTGGCTTCCCTTTTTTACTTTTGTTGCGGTGTTCCGCACCTCGCTGTTGCCTAAGACCTGCCTAAGAGCTGTGAGCTCTCGGACGCGGCTATTTTTCTCATCTCGCTGCGTCATCACAAATACTACTGAAACTATTAAACTGCATTGATGTAACTTTTGATGTGTTAAAAATCAAAAACAATTTGTAAAATAAAATATAATTAAGAGTGTACAAGTCATGAAAATATATTAATAGACCCATGTTATGAACAGTTCGGTAGTTTAACATTGCAGCCTCTCAACGCTGGGGCCCTGGGTTCAGTTCAAGACTTTGGGAATCCCAACCACCCAGAGGAAAACTACGCGCAGATAGCATCCAGAGTCCTAGAACAAAGTGGTAGATTAATTAGCTTCTGGGAAATCTGGCCCTATGTGTGTCGGAGTTTGTTTGTGTGTCCTGTAATGGACTGGCTGGCTTCCTATCCAGAGCGTATCCTGCCTTGTTCCCATTGCTGGCTGGAATAGGCTCTGGCTCCACTGCCATTCTGAATTGGAAGAAGAGATTAGAAAATGGACGAATATGCACGTTATTCGGTCATGTTATTTTCATTTATTCCTTATTTGCAAGTAATTGAAATAGAAATAGATACTTGGCAACAAGTATTGTTTGAGGCTTGTTCAACATCTAATCTACCAATGCTCCAATCATTTCTAAAAACTTATTTTAATATCCTGGAAATGTAGGCATTAATATCAATGCTGAACGCTACTTAACCCCTTGTGTGTCTGTTCAAACGGGTGGGCGAAACATAATAAACACAGGTACAGTATCATCATTTTGTCTAGGGAAATATAAATTTCTGATTTTCTAAATGTTTGCTCAGTGCGGTGTCAGTGTAGGAGGTCCACAAAATTTCACCTCGCTGCTTAAGTACTACCTAGTATTTAAGAAGTGCATGGTAGTATTTTAAAGAGCTCCAGAAAGGTCAGAACAATTCAGACTGCTGTCTGTTGCAAGTATTGATTTTCCCAAATAATCAAGCATAAGTTAACTGTTTTAAAACTTAAGCAGCTGAACTACCTTAGAAAGATTCAGCAGAGCAGCAATTTGGTTATCCATCATTCTCAACAGTGACTTTGGCCACAGAGCTGCCAACAGAAAAGCAGCGATGACCAGCTGAGATGGTTTCATGTTTTCCAGCAGAGATAGTCATTGTTTTTTTTTAAAAAAAACTGTCACCACAAGCATATCCAGTCATTTTAGAGGTAAAAGAAAAATTGCTAATGAGGAAAGCAATAAGCATTGACAATTTAAATTATAAGTCAGGCTCCATTCAGAAACAGTAAAAAGTGTGCTCTGGACAATTTTCTTTAATTTTTAAAATTATACATTGTCACAGTTCCTTTTTTCATATTGATTATGACACAACAGAGACAAATGCATTGACATACAGTATTATCAAAACATTTTTAAGAGGTTATTGGTATATTTTCCATACAAGCTTGCTACAGCAAGTGCCAAGTGCCATCTGAGTCAGACAGATTAAAAGGATAAAATAAAGTGCTTTCTTAAAAGCTTGAATTTTTATAGCAATGTTCAAATGATTACACAAATTAAAAATAAAACCTGACCATGTTATTTGAGTAGCATATAAGAGAACATGCTACAGACTAATAGTGACACACTGCATCACTTACACCACTGTGTGCTTCACATAATGTACATATCGAGAGGGTCAAGAGTTAACCAGGGGGACAACTAGAAAAGATGTATTTGCTAAGAGTAGAAGACAACTACTCTTACAGTACATATGAATAGGAAACATAAAGGAGTATATTAGTTTTAACAACAAAATCAGTAGGTTTCAAGCACAGAAAGTATAGTATTTGTATGTTACATGTATTGTTTGAACAAAGCATTCTTTCTTTGCCAACATTTTGTTTCATGAACCAATGTTCTCCTCACAGAAGTGTGAATTTATCATTTCCACCTAACTAGAAATGCTTCAGTCCCTGAGCTAAGTATACTGCGTAAATATATACATATAAATGTTTAATGCTAATGAAATGCCATTATATTTTTCAGAGAAATAAGGCTAAAAGGCCTGGCTTCTAAATATGTGCAGTATAAAAAAGGATAGAGAAAATACTTTTTAAAATTATGCTAAATCTAAATTTCTAGCAGGAATAGATGCATGATGCATGAGGAACATGATGAAATATGTAACACCGTGTCAGCATTTCCAACAAAAGGAAGAAACACAGGATGACAATGAAGAGATCTTACATCTCCCAACACTTTCATCAAACATTACTTAAGAAGTTTTTCATCCAAATAACTGATAACTTGTTTAACCCAGTCAATTCTGGGATCGGCACAGATCCGAAATCCTTTCATCGAGGTAAAGCTGAAAAATAAAAGAATTCAAAGAAATTTGACAGAATTCAGAAACCTGAAGAATTGTACAGGTTTTCCACATCTTTTCTATTTCACAATTAGAGAAAGATAGGGGCTGCCATTGTATTATATTGCCATAAAGTTAAAAAGCAACTCCATATAAACTCAAAATCTAATTCATTTTGGGATGAACACTTCTATTCATGAAGCAAGGGAATTGTGAAGAACAAATTGTGTAAAACCTATCCTTATATATTTATATACAGAGCCTTGCAAAAGTATTCACAATTATCATATTTTGTCGCTTTAAAGCTTTCCGATAAAGCTTTTCAGTCAAAAACAAAAAATATGAAAGACAAAATGACTTGTTTTCATTTCAAGCTGTGGAATCCTAACTTAATTTAAATGCAAATTATTTTAATGAGCCACGCAATCAATTGAGTGGTGAGGGGTGCCACCATGTAGTCAGTGACAACATTGAAAAATGGCTGAGATGGGAGAAAATATGCACCAGTCAACAACATCCACAAAGCTGGACTGTATAACAGTGTGGAAATCCCATCTCACCTCCCTCACAGAATTTATAATAAAGCACCTGAATGATCCTGCAAAAATATGGCAAAATGTGTCGTGATAACGACGCCAAATTGGACATTTTTGTTCTAGATGCTAACTGTGATGTTTGGCACAGACCCAAGACAGCACATATCCCAGTCAACACCATCCCTATGGTCAAGTTTGGTGGTAGAACCATCAGGCTATAAATATGCTTGTCCTCAGCAGAGATTGGAAAGCTTGTTGAGATTGAAAAAATAATCAGTTTGCGAAAAATATCAAATGGGGACAAAAATTCAGGACAATGATCCAAAGGTTTAGTCCAGAGCTACACTGGAGTGGTTTAGGAATAAGGAAGTGTTCTTGAATGGCCCAGTCAAAGTCCTGACATGAATTATATTGAGAATCTGTGTGAAGACCTGAAACCTTCGGTTTGTAAAAGTGGTCCATAAAGATTTGCAGCTGTAATTGCTGTTAAATGTGCCACCCAATATTCAACAGTTCTGTTTTTCTCTGTAGTTTTTGTTGACATTTTCTATATCACAAAAAGCATCCCATTTTTAATAAAATCTTAAGTTTAAAAAAGTATTCCGATTTTGAAAGGGTCTAAATACTTATGAAAGGCTCAGATATATATGATGAAAATATGGGAATTAAAGCCTTTCCACCTTCCTTTTTAGACTAGAAACTAGGCGGTTTAAAGACTCAGACTCATTGCTAATAACTTTTGGTTCTAATACTCATTGGCTGCAATTTTAGTGCCTCTCAGTATATAATTAATCTTCAAACCTGATCAAGTAAGAATGCAAAAATTCTGTCTGCTAGGACACTATATATTTCCATTGCTCTTCATGATAACCCAATCAGGTTTCATAAGATGGTATCTGCATGCCAAAACAAACAAAATATCATATTTGAGGTCATTGTTTGAAAATTAGAATTACACTTAATACATCACATTTTCTTATATATATGGATGTAGGTGATCAAAATAACTGCGAAAAATAACACACATGAAAATCTTTCCAACATGTTTATGTTGCATGGATAACTTACCTAGAAGTTTTAGATTGTGTCAACAAACCTGCTTTTATGCTGTATACTGAGAAGCACAGAAAACAACTGCATCCAATAGAATTTGCTGCGTTTTTAATTTATAAAATGCTTTTCAATTTATAAAGTTACCCCACTTTGTTTCAGCATTAATTTAATTAAATGATTAATTAAATGAAATCTTAATCAATACTTACATCACACCCTTTTTGGAGCAATCTTTTCGAGTGAGCTCATATTTCACTACGAGGCGTTTAAAAATCCGTTTTGGATAGTAATTGAAACAACACTCCGATGGCAAATTGGAATCTAAAGAAAGGACAAATATGCCTGTTTAAAAGTGTGAATTGTATGCTGATGTTCATAATTCAATCTCCATTTAAAAAAAATCACCAGTGAATTCAAATACCATAATGGTTTTCTATCCAAACTGCCAAGACTTCAATCAGCTCCATTAACTATAGTGTGATTTACGCCTTAATCTAATATAAGATATACAAGACAAATATATAAGACAAGTAATTAATGTGAAAGCATTTTTCACAAAGAAACATAACTGCGGACCAGAAAAGTTGCACAACACCATAATCTTTATCATGACTCTGGAGTAACTTCCCTGGGACAAACAAAAAGGGCAAATCGGGGCTGCATGGGTTCCTCAGAGAATTTATTAAATAGGGGAGTAAGTTGAGAAAAGGGTGACAGTGGTACAATGTTGCACTGGAGCCCTGGGTACAATTACTGCTATCTGCATGTTCTTCCAGTGATCACGTGTGTTTTTCCTATGGGTGCCCCAGTATCCTCCTACAGTTCAAAGACATACTGGTACAGTAGGTAAACTGGCTTCTGGAGAAACTGGGCCTGCTAAGAGTGTGTGCATGTTTGCGTCTGTGTGTGCCCTGCGATGGACTGGCATCCTGCCCAGGGTGTGCACTGCCTTGTGCCAGTTGCTTTGTTGCTTGCTGGGATAGGCACCAGCTCATCGGCCACCCTGTATTGGATAAAGCTGTAAGAAAATGAATGGATAGGATGAACAAATTACACGACAAGAGCTTTGTAAAAGAAGTATATGTTTCAGTGCTGAAAAGGTACATTTCAATAATGTTGGTAGGTTAATGTCTGGGAATATTTATGCATGTGAAGAAATGTTGCGATTTAAATTAGAGGCTCTTTACAGTATTGGCACTTTCATAAACAGGTCTGAAAGTACTTCATAATTATATTGTTTTACTGCATCTGTTTCACTTTGAATGCCTAGAAATAGTGAAATGAAAATTATTTTAAGCTACTTTTTAAACTCAGCAGTGGAGATTCCAGAGTTCTTCATTAAATTTGTTTTGAAAAGTAATAATTCTCATAATAAACTGGGCTCATGTTGTTCTTACCTATTCTTAGTTTAAAAATCACAATACAAAATATTACCATGGAAAAGAAAACTGGGGGTTTATTTATTTTCCCCCATCAAATACTTTTGGGGTTCTAGGAACAATTTGAAGGCAACGGGGAACAGAATTTATGTCTTTACTCAAGACATAATTCTCTTTCATAAATCTCAGAGTCTTCAAGACTCAAGTTCCTCCCAGCCCCATTATTTATGCTGTTTTTACAAGAGCAAGAATGTATATCTACAGTAATCCGATTTTTAGTAATTTGTTGATACTACACTGAATAAAATGAATGTCTGATATTAAAAGCATTCATGCATCAAAACACTTTCATGACAACATGAGCTCCTACCTGCCTGATATGAGCCTGACACCAAATGTGTCCTGAATGTATTTGACGATGCCCCACAGGCTGCCAAGTTAATTTAGAACCTGGTTAGGCATCCTGTATATGGTGACAATGAAGTGTATGACAATTGGCAATCACAATAATGCGGCTTGGCAATCGAGGGCTTAACCTTGTTGATTTTCAGCAGAGGAAAACCTAAATCTAGCAAAAAAGCCAACTGGAATATTGTGCACGGGTTTACAAATGGTTTGTGACAAGCCAATATGTTGCCGATCTCTCATTGAAAACATCAAGGCGTAAAACATCCCTTCACATCACGATGTCTAACCTACCCTGCTTTACCAATGGTGACAGCCAACATCTTGCCTATCTCCTGTGCAGGGACCGGTTCTACCTTTCCTCAGAATTAAAGAAGAAGGGCAATAACAGACACAAAAGCAAAGACAGTCACTTACTTTGGCTCAGAGCAGGGGCACAAAGGGCTGCCAACAGGAGAGCAGCGAGGACCAGTTGGGACGGCTTCATGGTTTTCACAGCAGGGCTGGAGGTGAATCCAGGGGTGTCTCCAGAAGAGTGTCTGTGGGGACTTCTGAGCAGAGACCAGTCCTTTCCTCTTATAAGGGAGCTGGTGGGTGGGGTGGGGGCTGGAGGTGAAGGCGGTGTATGTTGGGGAGTGGGAGTGTTTCCATTTCATTTGGGTTACAGAAGGGCTGTCACTGTTTGGTGAAAGATGCAGAGAGCTACTCGTTTGGTTAATAACGCAGGCTGTAGGTCTTCAGCAGGAAGCAAGAAGTGAAACTGCTGCAAACGTACTCTTTACTGGACCTTAAAATATACTTGGTGACTGAACACGAAGGCCCAGGCACATTTAACACAAACTGTGGTTAACACCCCATCCTCTATGGTGGTGTAGCAGTATTTCTTAGAACTAAAGCAGAACATTGCCCAGTTGGTGCTAATACTCCCAGAGAGGGCTAGTGTGTTAAGAGGAAGGTATTTCTTTTTGAGGTCAAAGTTAACTGGACACAACAACTTACATAGTGATAGATTTCTTTAAAAATGCTTTGGCAAAGAATCCTCTAATTCTTGTGAAGTTCTAAAGGCCCATTTGAGTGTGAGAGCACTGTCCAGTCAGGATTATACTTCAATTAACCTATGTGCAGCAAAGCTAAAGACTTCAACTCATACCACAAGCAGTTAGTAAACACAACACCCGTTTTCATACTTGTGGTTTAAGTGATGGAACAAACCCACACAAACACGGGGAGAACATACAAACTTCACACAGCTGGCGCCAGGGCCCCAAGGCCTAACCACTGTGCCTCCGTGACCTACAATTTAAACAATTAATTCTAATTTAAGGCTCTAAACAAGAGCTCCTTCCCATCCACTGCAAAATAATTTGATCTGCTTTTGACAGGTTACTGCTGCTAACATGGAGTGAACATAATTAGAAACCATGGTATAATTCAATGCCTTAGTAGAAACACAACTTTTGACCAATGGAATCCAAGATATGCTAATTTACTGCAGATGACTGAAGTACAGTAAAATGTATTATTCAAAGCAGAGCACACAATCATCTCCACTATAAACAATGCTGAATGCATTTAATCAAACTAGTGCTTAAGCCACACTGGAAAAGTGTATGCAAAAATGTTGGAGCAGAGCACCTCTGCTTTGCACTGTGTACATGGACCAAATTTCCACAGAAGCAAACCCAGAACCAGAAGCCTTGAATGAGATGCTGTTTGCTGATGACCAAAGCCTTGTAAATGAAGACGAGGAGAAGGCTGATAATGACCAGCCCAAATACAATTTGTGAAGAGTACGATATGAAAATCAGTGGAAGCCAGAGTGAATCAAAGATAAGCAGAATACCCACTGGCCTCAACATCAATGGCACACGTTTAACAAGTATCCAAATTCAAATGTAAACGAGAATGTAAACTCGCCACCTGTCAAATGAGATGTGTGAGACGAGCTGCCAACAAGGCCAGATGAAACAAGAAATGAAAGAATTAAGAGAAATGGTGGGAGCTACACAAGTCCACCACTACATGCAACAGCAGACTAGATGGTATAGTCCTCTTGCTTGCATGGCCACTAACCAACTGGCATACAGAGCATATAACAGTTGGACATCAGGGTACAAGGCAAGAGGTCGACAAAGAAAAGGCTGGATTATGTGAGGAAGAAGAATCTATCCACCCGAAGAAGGCTCTACAGCCGAAATGTTGTATTTCTTTTCTTCTCTTTTCAGCGTGGAATAAACCTTTACTTGTTCCTAAATTAATTTAGCTGCATACAATTGCCTTAACAAGTCACTAGTTGACAGTGTGCAATGATAGTGGTTCACAGGATTACATAATACACCTGGTTTTTGTAATGTCACTCAGTCAGGTAGACAGGTATTTCAAGCAAAGATTCAACCATTAAGACCAAGCAATTTCCAAACAACTTTGGTAAAGAGCTTCTTAAAGGCACAGGCCGGCACACGGAAATTTTAAAGACACTCGTCATCTCTTTGAGCACGGTGACGTCGATCATTTTTCCCCAATACTTACGTCAAATGGGGGAACTGAACAAAATAAATGACATGGTTTTAACACATGCATGCAAAATAATAGCCAGAAACAAAAGCCACAACTCTATACTTTTGCCTAATGTTAATCCTTGATCTAAAATACAAGTTTTATCAATACACAAAAAATGAAAATTTCACTACACTCCCAATTCTTACACTTTTCACTGTATGTGTCTTATTAGTAAGAAAGTATATAACCTTTGAGTGGCCCCAATTTGAACCCTTCTAAGAACTGGTAGAAGGCTAGAAATCTGTTCAAATTTGATTCCCAAACTGGAGAGACCTGGAGCAAATATGCTAATAAAAATGGACAAAAGTTCACGGGTATGAATTCTTACAGAATTGACAGAATTCAATATTTTCTTTAGTTCTTGTTGACATTTACTGTAATTCATCTTGCCCTTAGAAGTATTTAGTCCCAGCATCCAAGTTTTGAATAAAATATTTTAGAAAAGGAGTATGCATCTTTTTTTTTTAAATGCCACAAAATAGAACACTAGGGTCTGAATACTTTTGCAAGGCTCTGTATATGAAAGGTCAAGGGAGGTTAGTAGTTCTGGTTTCATTTACGTTTTCCTACCTTTGCACTAGGAACCAACACAAATTATTAATCCGTAGTGCTTGGAATACAAATGCAAAAAAGCCTAACACTGCTGTTACAGTGAGATTAGGATGAGGATGATGATGTGAAGAGTAAGAAAGGATACTAACAACAAGCACTCACTCACAGGTGGCTTCAAATGACCAGCAAGTGTTAATTTAATAAAAATCAATCTCACAGATACAATAATGATCAAATGGAAGGTTGAGCAACTAATTTACTTCAGTGGAATATCTGAGACAAGCATGCAAATAGGGTGTCGGGTTATGTTGTGGTTTTTCTTCTAGTTATTAAAAATAGGCTGGTAAAATTTCCCTGTTATTTCACTTATTTACCATGATACCATTATATCATCACAATCTTAATAATTTAGTGACATTTTAAACCCACATTAACAGTTCAACGAAGGATAAATAGTATTAGAAAACTAAGTACTTTATATTTTGTATTACCACTTCTGCCTTTTAACATGATACCTGTGTATGACTTCGTCCGGAATTAGAAAACTAAGCCCTGGCACCAACATCCACCTTGGATTCAAATGAGCTTTTAACCATATTTAGATGAATAAAAACAGAATTCAAATTTTTCACAAACTGTGCAATCAAATATTGCCCAGGGTCAACAACCCTCTTTCTTTTAAAGCACAAAATGGATTTATGAATTTTAATGTTTTAATATATGAATATCCAAGGCATGAAATATCCCTAATAAACCCCATAAAGCTGTTTTTTAACTTCAGTTGTGTGAATTAATATGTAGCTTCATGCTTAAACACCTAAAAAAGATGTAAACAGGTAGCTCTAATCCTAAAATAGCATATCCCTTTTGTAACATTCACATAACATAGCCTTAAAAAGGATATTACTCATGTGTTACGGGTATAACAACTCATCTGTAAAGTTACCACACAGTTACAAAAATTGCCATGTTTTTTAGTTCATGTTCATGCTCTTACAATGGTCCATCGCCTCCTTCTGAAAATCTAAGAAGACACAAAAACTCAAAAAGCAGAAACTACAGTCATATACAGTAAATGAACCCAATGGTTTATTTACAGGGCTTTATTTAATAAAACAATATATACACTTCAAGTGAAAGACAGTTCCAGTTTCTTTTCCAGTTCTCCAAAATGAACTAAATGTAGGTCCCTTGGATATTTGGTATATTTATACATTAAAATGAAGGAAAGAACATTTAAAATGTTTTTAAAACATGGTTCCTCAGATGGAATTGCATTATCCAGCACAGCCATACAGACCATCTTTTAGAATTTGTATATTAAAACACAGAAAAGAAAGAATATAAAATTAACATTTTCCATCACTCATGATTTAAGTGGGAAAAAAAACTTAACTTGTTGCAGTCTTCTAAAAAAAAAGACAAAAAATTTCAATGTGCACACAAAGGAATGTTTTATCTTGGTTGGAAACAAACTACAGTATATCCTGAACATTATCAGTGAAGACAGAAGGAGTAACAGGCTGTTGGTTTTCTATATTAGTGTAGAATAATAATTATGAGCATGGACATTTTAACTGAATAAAACATTCACACATATCCAACTGACGTGACATTATAAATACCAGAAGTCTTGAGACTGCAAATTCTATGAAAAAGGTTGAAATGCTTACACTTCAAGGCAACTTACAGAATTCTGCACTGTTCAACCTGGAATGTAGGTGCACACATTCAATTCTCAATTAACTCTTAGCTGTGTACAGGGCATTACATTTACATATTTGTAACTGAAATAACAGCACTCAAACTTAGGGCCCTTAATTTCGTAATGAAATGACAAAGATTTCAAGGATTGGCGCTTTCATGATGTCCACACAGGCAGAGAAAGCTCACTCAAGCCTGCATGAGAAATCTGTGTTCATCACAAATTTCCCAGACTTGTGGATTACTTAAAGTAACCAACCAACACCTGTGAGAGATGAAGAAGACATAAAACACTGTAAAAACCTACGCAAAGCTCATTATTGCAATATATTTTTCTGAATCACAGAAGTACTAAGGAGTGTATATTACACACACTGAGTATCCAGTGTAAGGAAAAACCACACGTGTGGGGAAAAGAATGGGAACTACACCACAGTGTGCAGGACAGCACGCCTCTGTGAATAGACCGAGTCAGTTTCCAGAATTTAAAAAACAGAAGTACGCCATGGAAACCAAAAGGTAGTTTTTTCATTCTGAATCCTACATGGAATAAACATGTTTGGACAGCTGTTAAAAGGGACCTTCTCTTTAACACAACGCAACAGGAAAGTGTTATCTTTTTTCTTCCGCAAAAAGAAGCATGATATTAAGTTCGAAAAGCTTCCGAAAATGTCTGCACAGAGGTTACTTCCTCCTCGCACTTGAAGATGATGGCTGTGTGGCACACCAGTACGCACAGCTCTTCCATTTGCAAGTGTTGTTTGTAAAGTGCACAATAAACGGACGATGGAAATTCATCCAACTGAGGGACGGCACACAAATAAGTCACTTTAAAAACTACATTTGGGAATGCCAGACCATTCGCAAACAAGACGAGAATCGCACTTGATGATAACCAACATGGATCAAAAGCTTTTGAAGTAAAATGCAGGGCAACACACTGAAAAATACAGACAGGAAGAGGAAAAATTAAGTCTGTTCACCAAAAAGCCACCACGATATTTCATATAGGAAAGGCACCTTCACCACAGAAATACAAGTCTGTGGGCCTAGTGTTAAATGCCAGTACATTACTGAATCTAAATACACCTACCTCTCCTGTACCGATATATTTATAGGTTACATCTCAAATGATTCGTTGATTAAATTGTGTTCTTCTGCTGAGCATACCATCTAAAGTTCTACCAAATTCAGGATGTAATTATTATATTAACCAGACTACCATGTATGGCTTAAAAACTTTAAAGAAAAACATTATGACAGTGTGATGTAGTTGAAATATTTCCATTTGGCTCAGGCAACCTGCACATACAGTGTTCCCTGCAACCAATCCTCTATCAATGGGGTTAAATCAGAATTCTGTTGTACTGATATATATAGTTCAGTATAAGGATGCAAATGTTCCAATTTTTTGGAATGAAATTTAAATATTCATATATGGAAAGCACAGCCTTTAGTAGAAGGAACAATTCTAAATCGTATGTCTCAGAGCCATAGTCTTATAGCTCAAAATCTTAAAGAAAGGTGTCAGGTTTTGTTTATACCTGATCAGACATTAAGAAGTTGGGTTTGAAATAAAACAATTCCTGTAAACAGCAACTAAGCATTCATATGTGGTCTATCGAGTCCTAAGAAACACACTAATTGAAGGTTCACTTCTGAAAATTTGCAACAGAGGAAAAACGCTGCTTGTTCTTGTTTACTTAGGATTCTGACTTGATTAGTCCATAACGAAACAGAAAACATTGTGTACACTGAATAGATAAGAATAACACTGAGCGGAAAAGCCACAAATATGTGCCCCAAGATTCAAAACACGAATGAAAGATGAGTTATAATAAGGCATTAATCACAATTCTCATAAAACAACTGCACCTCACCTCTTTTCTATTGCACATCAAAATCAGATCAGTAGCAAAAAAAGACATTTGGTGAAGCAGACTCAGTCAACGGGTTTCAACGTTTCTGACTGCACCCTTATGTACAAAAAGAACGTCAGTAAATTTAAAGCAATATTCAACATTAACACAGATCATACTATACATAGAAAATTGTACATTTTTTCAGAAGCTAATAACTGCCACACTGAAAAGTACCTCAGCACATAAATAATGAGTTAATCAAACACATTCAGACGTATAAAAGCAACAATGAATTACAGCATGTAAAGTTGAAAAGAAATATAGAAATAACATTTAGAATGAAAAACGTCACATGAAAAGTTAACCGTGCAAAAAAGAGGCAGCACACATGCTTTACAGAAGCACTTACTCTAAATTAGTTTTTGCATTGCTTATTCTCTACGTACCACTTTGGGTTTAAAACTTCATCCGCAATTTCAAGCACTTCAAGCTCTGAGTCTGAAAAGGAACTTGAATCACACGGCACAAAAACTTGATTTTCTTTTTCCTCAGTGTTTCTTACAACACCCAGACAAAAACTGAATTGTCACCACTTATTCCAGTAATTGGACTGCCAACTACAGTACCTTGAGCAACGTGAACAAATGTACAAACGCCTAAATGCCTTGCAAATTTAAACTCTTACCTCTCACCTGTTTGTACCCATTCCCTTGGCCCTTCAATGAATAATGTATGCCGACAAAATCAAATGTAACAAACATTTCAAACCACAGTCAACAGACAACAAAAAAGGAAAAATGCCCAAAGGAAAGGAAGTTCATTTTGGAATTCGCATCATTTTCAGTATAAAACTTGATTAAAAGATGGAAGGTTTACATTCTGACATTTCTTAAACACCTGTACTCCAGATGTTGTAACTGGACAAGGTAAAGAAGGTTTAAGGCTTAAGTTCTTGGTAAAATATACACAGGTTAAGGCCAAGTCCAGTGTGAAGACTACATAATAAGTTCTCCAGATGAGATTCTTTAAGCTTTACAATACATTAGGATCCAGTGTCAGAGCCTGCTCTACGTTTCAACAAGTTGTTCCTCATTTTAATGTCTTTTTTTGAACCTCAGCGCTTTAATACAGGACTTCCTCGCTCCTGCTCACGGTAGTCCTTCTGCAACGCCTGAAGTACCTGAAACAAAATAATGAAGATGAATGAAGTCTGACACATACTGTGGATATGCAGTGCTAAGCCATTAATCTTTCTGAATGATGTCCTTACAGTGGCGTACTCCTTTTCACAACAGGACTAAAATCCCAGAATGGGTGTGAGGCGAAAACAAAAACAGCCAATCTATGGTTTACAATAACAGATGTCCTGTTCAATTCTGGACTGTAATAAACCGTGAGATTAAAGGGCCTCGTCAATATACAAGCATGCAACTGCAAATCGGCCAATAATAATGAAATACAAAATGACAGAGTGAGAGGTTTTCGAAAGAATACTGAGAGGTATTTGAGGCAAAGGCAAATAGCGAAACCAAATTAATATTTTAACAGGCCACTAAACGCTGCAGGAAAAAAATATCATTTTCAGCCTTAACAGATCCTTGTACACAGAAAGTAAGAGTAAGAATTTAACAATTGCAATAATCTGTAACCTGTTTTACAATGGTTAATACATATTTAATGTTTATTTCTATATTTACTATTTTTATTCAACATAAAGTATAACAAAATTCTGAGATACAATGACATTTTTAGACGGCATTACTTTAGGTGTTCAAAAGGCAAGTTTGTTTTTGAAAGTGTGAAACTGCATTTTTGTTCTAGCACCTAGAGCCAAAGAAGAACCCTGAATTAATCCCTTTCTCTATCCAATGTCTTTGGAAGACCAAAACTTGATTAATCTCAGGGATGTGAAATAAAAACTAATTGCAGTTTCAATATCATAAAAACATATAAGCACTCATTTTCCAAAGCAAGAAATTATCTGACAAAGGTTAGCAATGGAATGGAATACTGTATTGCTCATTTTAAATCATGTAGGACAGCATGTTCTAACTTTCAAACTCCTTGGTCTATACCTACCTGAGTCCACTTCTTATTCCTGCTTTGCATCTGAATGGAAGCGATGGCTATAAACAGTTCATCTGGTGAGATGTCCTCTGGCAGCTTGGTAAGGAACTGGGCATTGTGGATAAAGTCCATTTTGGTAAGAATGTCCTCGTAAAGCTTCAAGATGCCCAAGGCCGTGCGAAAGAGAAACTCGTCCCCATCACGGCAGAAAACGTCCCAGACACGGCAAGCCAGGTCCAGAGGCAAGGACTTGCTGTACAACGTGAAAATCCTGCATGGACACAAGAGCAGGACCCTTGCCTCAGTATCCCAGTAATGCTTACAAAGACATGATCAAAAGGCACCGCAGTGTTTAACAGACTTCGTTCAGACCATTTTCTTAACACCTCAGATAAACGTTTGCATTTGTAAAAGCTAATTGATGGGCTCAACAGAAAGCTCTGAAAAACATCTTTAGCAGAGATATTACTGCATTTTGTCACACTCTACTCTTAATAGAATATATTGTGATATTATAGCAGATAAAAAAAGAAATTAAACCAATGACAAAATGTTGATAAGATTTTATATTATTAAACTAATTAACAGACGAAGTGTTATTTATCACATTTAATGAGGCCAAGGGCGATCCTTCACTGTTATAGCAACAGTTGAACTAAAACACTTTCCACTACATTTATTTGACTGAACACTGTGCCATACCTACTCAACCACTGATACAAATGCAAGAAGATGATCCTTGCAGCCTCCTCACAAATATCCATTTTATCTCACAGGTATTTTGCAATCAGGACTCCAAGCCTGCCCTGAAAAGGTTTCACTATATCCCCAGCTTTCAGACAGGGTGCATTATACCGATACTGAGATACCGAGCACTTAACATCAAGTTATGTCCACAATGTCAAAACACAGACTTCAGAAAAACTAACGGTCCTAACCCAAAAAGTGTGGATCAGATCCAAATGGAACTACCATAACCATCTTTATACAACATTTGTCTTAAAAATAAGATCACTATATAGCACACTGCTATTCTGCCTGAAAAGCAACAGACATCAGGCCAGACATCTGGTTTCATCATGTTTCACTTCGCCACTCTCAGTCTGTCCTCACTTTTGCCCTTCCTGATCTAGTTCAATCCTCCATGTGCAGTATTCCCTAAAGAGGTCATCCTGAAGTAGTTATACAATCAGCTGAGAAGTAAGACAGCTGACTACTCATATCGACTGTAGAGCTTTCTTCAGGTATAAACCCCTAACACTGGTGTGAAATGCTGCCAAAGAGCTGCTTTTGTAACTTTTCAACTTTTTTAGAGTGGATTTAATCTCTGCTTGTTCCTTTACACCTCCTACCTGTTGCAGTTTCCCCTCTCGTACCTCTATCTACTACTATTACACAGCACACAACAAATATGTCAAGGAAAGTCCTGTATTAATTTTTAAAAATAAAATATGGTCAACATTCTAAACTACTTGCCAGTAAACAAAATACTTTTTCAAAAACAAATTCGTAAAGGACTCAAATGAAATCGCACTTTTTTTCTGTGTAAATGAGACCTTAACCATTGGCAAGACTTATCAGAACTTCTAAGTCAATTAAACCTTGAATATGGACTACACCCAGCAGTTGCTGTGAAGAGAGGATGCTGGTTTTGCTCTGAAGATAAAAAAAACATGAACCATACCAGCAGGAAGAGGGTGCAGGTTGCTTTTATAAACCTTTTGACCACCACTAAAACCTCAAACATAGCACAAGACCTCTGGTGCACGTCAATACCATCAGTTCCATTTCTTGGCAATGTTAAGTATTTAAAACAAGCTGCTTTTTTATGCTACTGTTCTCTTTTACACTCCAAAGTATTAAGCACAAACTAAAAAACAGATTTGGTAAAGTCCGCACCAATGAGTACTATGGCCTTAAAAAACAATCTTGAGTACCTGGCAATATCGTGATTATAATAATACAGTATATTTTGCTGGAGGCTTTTTTTTTTCTATTTGGCCTCTTATCTGGTGTGGTATCTAAAAGGTATTCTGCAAATTAGCTTCTTCAAAGGCTGTGCAGAGGAAACAATTCAGTACAGCCTTAGTCCACGGTGTGAATCACAGATGCAGTATTAATACACTTTGTGCTATCACTTCCTGTTACTTGGCATTTCAGAAGAAAAAAACAAAATGAAAATTGGAAATGACTATTTGAAAGGAATTTTCACATGATTAGTCAAAACAAGCTGAAGTGATGATCAAAGCAATACGTCTCCGGAGCTTCAAAGTAATTTTCTAGACGATTTAAACTATTCAGTTATATCTCCCATTTTGCTGTCTGTATGTCAGTACAACCAGAACTCCCATCCTCCGTAAACTGAACTAGGTTTCTCTTTAAATCTCAAGTGAACGACAGTTCTTCTGTTCACATACAGTACACGTCACTGATCTAGCTACAGGTCATTAGAAGGGCTAACTGCAACAAGCAAAAAATCTTCAATCTTGTAAATGAAGGGGTCAGTTTCCTTTTTAATACACAAGATATTTCTTGTGAATTCTGGAAATTCAACATACTTTCAGAAGCAAAATACTTCCAGAAAAACCTCAGGAATTTGGTGGCACGTGTGATACTTACCAGTCAATTAAATATATATCTGGGGTTAAGTTATTCTGCTTAAAGTGTGCAAACAGCTTTGGTAGATTTTCTTCAAAGAACACTTCAAATGCTGCAAAATAGGTCAACATCTATAAAAGAAAGGAAACGCAATCATTAGAAAACTCAGACAACTTCTGTATGAGTATCTCATGTGGTCCTTTAAAAGAAATGTCGTGAACCAACAGATGTCTGTGGGATATACAAAGTCAATATAAATTGGAGGGAATAAACCACAGCAGCCAATTTCTATATTCAAGTGTTTCTATAAGGTAATGTGTCACAGACTTTTTCAGGGGGGCAAAGCTCACACACACATAAGTTAGCTTCCTGATTCAGACTGATTCAGCTAATGTTCTCGATTTACAATGTCATTTAATATATCTTACAAAGTACAGATTTTAAACACATTTTCTGTTTCTATAACTACAATTTAAACGAAGAGATAAAAATCAAATAATAAATGTTCAGAGACTGTCCAGTTGTTAAATACATCACTAGAGTGATAAAAAAAAACTGATAAAGCTTGTTGCTGGTTAAAGTCCTTTGTTAAAGATCTAACAAGAGTCAATGATTTGCAGTATTTTTACATTTTTATCAGTAACCGTGGTCAAGAAAGGATTGTTGTTCCCAAAAAGGATGGAAAAGGATGTGTAGAAGTTGCTTGAGAAAACAAAAAAACAGCCAGGCCACTCAAAGCTTCAAGGCAGACATGTCTGGGAATTTAGCTTGAGAAAATAGGTTCATCTTAAGATGAAGAAATCTTACATTTCAGAGGAATCCATGCTTGTTGCGAATTAATTTTTTAGCAGCCATATCACCCTGCAACTCACAACTGGCAGCCCACTGAAGCTAAGCAGGTGTGAGCCTAGTCAGTACCTGGATGGGAGACCTCCTGGG